GCCAGACACCGACCAGGCTGAGAAGGCAGGTGTCCAGGTCCTGATCCACCCCAACCCCCGTGGGTGTTCTGCAAGGGATTCTGGGATTCACAGGACAGAAGACAGGCTCAAAGGCTCAAAGGGGTCTTGGCCAGGCAACAGAAAACTACCTGATTTGGGGTCTGGAGCGGAGAGGAGGGTACTCCAGAGTTATAGTTGGACCTGCTTCCAGGAAACTCTTCAGAGAGGTTCCAGCTTCTTCTGAAGAAATGAAAGAGCATCTCCTCAGTTTCCTCTCAGGGAACAGAGCCCTGGTGAGGCAACTGCACGCCACATGCACACACACACATGCACATATACACATACACCAGCACTTACTCAGGCTGAGGAAGCGGTGGTCAGTAGTGGGACGTGTTCAGATCTCCTCTGAACATGACGCTTGCTTAGTAGCCATGCTGCCTTTGGGCAGGTCCCTAAACTCCCCTAGCCTCGGTTCAGAAGCTGTGACATGGGACTCATCCCTCCTGCAGCAGGGAGTGGGGAAGCTGAGATGGGACATCTGGGTGAAGTGCCCAGGAGAGTGGCACTTGGTAAACTACCCAAGTTGTATTTCTGTCTGAACCTCTGACCTTGGCTGAGTAGGTGTGTGCGCCTTTGGCAAGGCTGCTGTTTCCACTGCTTGGCTGAGGGGGTCTTACCCAGCAGCATCGGTGAGGGCATATTCTAAGGAAGACGCCCAGGGCACTGACAGGCTGTGGGCCCTGGGAAAATTCTCTTCCCCCGCCTCAGTTCCATGGACTCAGTGACCTTGTCTGTGAAAACACCCAGCCTAGGAAGGCCTGCCCTGTCCCTAGGGGTTCCCAGCTTTACGCGCGTAAGCCCTTCTTGGCCGGCGTAGTGTTCCAGCTTCTGTTGTTCTTTACAGTTTCCACCAGGCTTATCAAATAATGGAATGCCTGACCCGAGGGTCCGGCTCTGCTGATGCTCATTATGATTCTGTTCTGAATTGAGCAATAATAGATGTGAAAATGAGGATGGGTTTAGACATGCCTAGTTGACGGAAGCCCTATTCATAATGAAATGGGGACAACGGAGGCTTACTATGTGTCAAGTAGGACATGGGACCTCTTTCAGCCCTCCCGGCAACCCTATGACCCCCATTTAACAGACAGGGATACTGAACCTCCATTGGTTACACTGCCCAAGGTCGCATGCCTCCTGGGAGCGCTCTAGTTCCAGCCCACATCCTTCCCCATGATGCTAATGCCAGGGTCAGTGATGGTGCCCTCCCTGGCAACCCCTCCCCTCACAGAGTTAACTTTGAGAGCAAGACTCCTGATTCCTTCCCAAAGTCATCCTAAGCCCTGGCAGCCTGATGAGCTTTCAAGATTTGCACAGAAGAAAGGCATTTCCTCCAGAACCTCCCTCAGTGTCTGGAGAAGACTGGTGGGACATATGGGTCCCTCCCTACCCTTCTCAGAGCGCTGCCCACCCTGTAGGACCTGTGAATTTGAGGAGGTGATGAGTTCCTGCCACCGACCACAAATGTGCCATGGGCATTCTGACAAGGAATGGGTGCCAGGTCCCCTGCCTGCCTTTGGCCCTAGAAGAGAAGGCATCCTGCCTGGTGCCAGGCCCGGCTCCACCATTCCAAGGCGGCGCCAGCTGTGGCCACCAGGGAGCGCCCGTCCCCAAGGGAAGCGTGACCGAGTCCCCTCGTGCCCCTTTCCCCACCGGGGAGCTCACCCGCTCAGAGTTGCAGTGGGGCCTGTCCTGGGGGTAGATCTGCGGGTGAGCCCGGGGTGAGCAGCAGCTGTGGATGCAACAGATGAGAAAACCCCACTGCAAGTGAGGGGAGACAGCACTGCAGGCAGCCGGAGCTGGATTTGAGGCTGGGGCTGGGGGCCCCTGGGTTTCCCGGTTAAGGTCTCTTGTGCAACGTGGAGTACAGAGGGCTTCACATGCTTTTAAAAATGTCTGTGGGGGTAAGTTATCTCTGGTTGCCAGGTGAGGTAGGAGAGTCCCAGAGAAATCAAATCATCACGGGGGTGGAGTGGGGAGGGACAGAGTTAGTGGGTCCTTCCTTCGGTGGGTCGCTGGGCTGCTTGCTCGGACCAGGCTATTAACCAGGGTGAGAAAAGGGGCTTGGTGCTCACGGAAAATGAGCCCCCAGGCTCCTCTAGTGGGACTATCCCAAATGGGGAAGAGCCGAAGCCCTGCTGCACACCCCAGCCTCAGCCAGGTAGGACGCTGGGAGGTATTTTTGAGCTGGGGAGACTGGCACCCCCTCACCTTTAGGTGGCTCCTCCAATGTCCAGTCCAGCTGCAGGTCTGTGAGGATAGAAAGGACGCTAGTCAGAAGCAAGCCCTGCTGGAAGGCAGCTCCTGCCTGGAGCTGGGGGCGGAGGGAGGGGCTGAGTCAGGGCCTAAAGAATGTCCCTAGGGAGGGAAGGAATTAGGAGGGCCGCTCTCTGGAGGGCCTGAAATGCTTCTGGCCAACTCGAGGGCCTGGGCAAACCAACGCCCTGGCAGCCCTGGGCAGCCCAGACTGCCCTGCTCTTCCCTCCCTGGTTCCTCACCTCCTTCTCCCTGAACTTTCTGACCACCCTGGCCCTGTCAGGTGTGAGGAATGTGACACCCTAGTCCCCCTCTTTCCCTTCCTGTTCCCACTTCTAAATTCTTATCTTCCCTTCCTGGCCCAGTCCTCATGGCACTCAGGAATTTCTGGGGTAGAAATCTGGCCAACACTGGAGATCCCCTTGCAGAGGGGTCTCAGGGAGGAGATGAGCCAGTCAGGGTGCGATGTAACAATGATGAGAAATACAACTTTCCTCTAGTTCCTAAAGGTTTCCTCCCCGCTCCCACTACCATGACTTGAATTCTATCTTGCAAGACTGGCTAGACCAGAGGAGGTACACTGGTACAGATAGGAACTGAAAATACAGGGAATCCAGGACGGATGAGCCCTATAGGACCAGTGGTGTGAGTGGCAAAACAGGGAGGGTAAAGGGAGAATGGGTAGGAAAGAGGGAACCGATTACATGGAACTGTGTGTGACCTTCTCCCTGGGGGACAGACAACCGAAAAGTGGATGAAGGGAGACGTCGGACAGGGCAAGATATGACAAAATACCCATTTATAAACTATCAAGGGCACATGCGGGAGGGGGGAGCGGGAGGGAGGGGAAAAATGAGGACCTAATGTCGGGGGTTTAAATGGAGAGAAAATGTTTTGAGAAACGATGTACAAATGCGCTTTACACAATTGATGTGTGTATGGATTGGGATAACAGTTGTATGAGCCCCTAATAAAATGTTAAAAAATAAAAAAAAAGAAATCTGGCCAAAACTGTTGACCAGCCAACCCCTCTAACCCCTATGCACACAGATATGGTGCAAGAGCCCCACATTCCACCTAAATCAGGACACTTCTTTGCCCCTCACACCTTCCCCCAGCTCCTGGAGTTCTCTGTTCTTCCTTCCTTAGGGCATTAGACTGTCCGCAATGCACTCACTACCTCCGAATTCTGACTCCCGTTCTTTCTAGCTAGGCCCTGGCGGTGACCCCCACATTCCCAGTGGAACGGTCCATTCTTTCTTGGTCTTAACGCCACCTGCCAACCGTGTATATCACAGTGGTTCCCGCCTTCCTTTCTCACTGGGCTTTAGGGAGACCACACTCCTTTGGGGTTCTCCTCCCTGCTCTCTGGCTGCAGCTCCTCACAGTCAGCTTTGCTGGGTCCTGCTCAGCTCTCAAGCCCCTTACCCGCAGGGCCTTGGGACACAGGCTGTGGGCCTCTCTGCCCCTGCATCAGCATTCTTCCCTAGATGGTCCTGCCAAGTCGCAGGGCTTTAAAATACCAAGTGACTCACAACCCTGGCTGCACATTAGGATGACACATACCCGGCTCTGAGGCCTGTGCCTCCCGGGGCTTCACAAACTGTCCTACTGGTGTTCAAGTTTAAAATCGACTCAGTTCTTCTCTCTCAGGCCCCGCCCAGTTTACCAGCAAATCCACGTGACTCTCTTCAGAGCAAGGAGCTGAGGTGGAGTGACGGTGAACTGGTCAGGTACTATGGCTCTTCAAAACCACCAGGGGCTCCACGGGAGGGAAAACTCTGCATCTGCTCTCAGCCTTGGGAACACACGAGGGGCAGATTCGCCTCGATGACCTCCAACAACAGGGGCAGCCTTCAGGCTGCATCGTGAATCCTACTGCGTCCCACATCAGGTTCATTGCCACAGTCCTGATCCAGGACACGGCCACCTCCGGTCTGGATGAAGGCACGTGCCTCCAAACCGGTGCCCTGCGTCCACCTCTGTCCTTGCCATCGGCTCCACAATGCAGCCACTGTAATCCAGGCATGTTGCTTTCTCCGCCAGGTCCTGTACAATGGCCTTAGCTCTCTGACGTTGTCTCTGAACACATCCCCCCTCTCGCTCATCCAGGCTCTTCTGTTCTAGAACTTGCTAGACATGCTTCTGCTCTGGGACTCCCTCGGCCAAGCATGTGCCTTGCTAGCTCCCTGGCAGGCCACTCTTTCACTTTCTCAGAGCTCTGCCCAGAGGGGCCTTTCCCAGCCCTCCTGTGTCAGGTAGCTGCCTCCTGGCAACACTGGGAGTGCCACTGACCCCTTCCCACCACTTGCCACACTAAATATCCCTCCGTCTAATGTGTCTCTCCCTCTCTAGAGGGGCAAGGACATTGCCCTTTTGTTGGTGTTGTTACATGGCCAACCTTCCATGTGAAAGATTTGGGTCCTGTGGCGTGGGTGATTGTAGGTCCACCTTTATCTGTATGTAAGCATGGAGGTGGAGTCCAACCTGTCAGTCAATCAGGTTGCAGCCTGATGATGCCCCTCCTTAGGAGTGTGGCATTTTTATAAGGAAGAAGTTGGGAACTTCCGTCTCTCTGGCCCCTCTCCTTCCTGCTTGCTAGGACTCTCCCTGCCTCCAGGGACAGCTCTGTGTGGGCTGCCTGACGGTGAGAGCCACCTCGGTGCCCTGCCATGTGTCCACGGATCTTGTATCCATGTAACTGCACCATCGGCCTGTGATCGTTCTATAAACCCACCTCACATTTCAACATCATCAGCCTACAGCTACGTGAGTCTTCGGAGGGCTCTGGCCAGCATTGGACTTACGGACTTGAGTTGGACTGGGCTGGGATGCCTTAGGGATAGCGCTTTCTTATACATAAATGGGTGTCATGGACTTGTTTCTCTAGACAACACAGCCTAACACAGGTTCCATCCCCATCAATGCACTTCATGCACGATCTCCACCCACCTGTCAGTTGAGCTCATGTGGGGCTCTAGTGCCAGTGCTTTTGGCAGAGCTTCCGGACTAAGACAGACTTTGAAGAAAACCTGGCCATCTGAGAATCAGCCAACAAAAACCTTCTGGGTGACAACCATCAGATCCACAACCAATCACAGGAGCAACACAGGACCACACAGCGTTTTGTTCTGCCACGTGCAGGACACGGTGGGTCAGGGCCCAACCAGAAAGCAGCCAAGAACAAGCACTCTCCATACCTAACACAGTGCTGGCCACAGACTCAGTGCTCAGTAAGTCCGCAAGGGGCTGACTAGCTGAAGGAGTCAGCTCATGGGCAGAGCGCAGGCACCTGGCAGGTGCCTGCCATGCCACAGGAAGAGGAACGGCCCACGGATGGTGCGATTTCAGTCTGGCAGGGAAATCAGTTTCAAAGAAAGGGCTTTCTTCTCAGGGCTCTTGTAGGGACACCAGGGGACAGACAGTGTCTGGCCACTAACCCATAGGAGGCCCTGCTGTGCCCCTGAGTACCAGGGCTGGGGGTCAGTAGGGATGCTTTCTGTGGTCAGTTTTAGGGACCACAGGGCCTAGGGTGAGTGGGGAAGGGGCCCCGGAGCAGGTTAGTTTCCTTCTGTAGCCCTCCTTCCCCAAGCCCAGTGGGGCAGGGAGGGCCCCAGGGGTGGGGTGGAGGGTGGGGGGGGTGTCTCACCTGGCATTTTCCGATGAATCTGCTGGAACATTTTCCGGTACCAGTCCCTGGGGCTATTGACACTCTGGGATGAGAAGAGGCAAGGTCAGGTCTCACTGCTCAGCACTCCCCGTATCAAGCTGAGACATTTCCCCCAAATGAGCCCTCTCTCTGGCCACCCTCAAAGCCCCAGTGGGTGGGCTGGTGAGCTTCTCTGCTGTGACATCCTTAATAACCGTGACTGTGTGTGACATGTTTATACAAGTGGAATATGGAAAGATGTACATCAAAGTATATACGATGATTCATAATGATGAGATGTTGGGTTCACATTTTTTTTTCTCTTTCCATTGATTTTATTGTGCTTTATGTAAAACTGCACAGCAAATCAGCACAGTGGGCTAAGCTTTGGGCTGCTAACTGCCAGGCCGGCAGTTCAAACCCACCAGCTGCTCTGTGGGAGAAAGTTGAGGCAGTCTGCTCCCATGGGGATTGACAGTCTCAGAAATCGGTAAGCAGCCGTCCTACTTAGTCCCATGGCGTGGCTGTGAGTCAGACCTGACTCGATGCATTCTGTGCATTGTTTAGGTGTTGGTTTAAATGTTTCATTGTGAATTAGGTGAGGGTTGACAGAGCAGGTCACCAGTTTGACATTTAACAACTCTTAGGCGTTTTGTTTTGATTCCTGAAATTCAGCCCCCACCACATCCCATCCCAGCTCCCACTCGCTCCCTGCGTCCTGTTTCTAGCCCTGAACTTTGCCGTTGGGTAAATGCTGCCCCTTAGAGCCTAAATGGCTGATTCTTCTTCTTTTTATAATTTAAACATGTTTTTAACTTGTAATGTTCAATATTTTATACACATATACTTATATACACATGGGTACTTCAAACATTGGTGGGGAAATTCCATTATCTTTTCATTCCAGGTTGACGTTCCGACACGAGGGTGAATTTAGTTCCAGACCTGATGAATGACTGAGTCTTGGGGACCCCTAGTCTCTACTTAACTAGAAACCCTGTTCTTTTTCTATGATTTTGGAGTTCTGCTCCACATTGTTCTCCCCTCTATCCAGGTTCCTTCTAAGGGGATCCTTTCAGAGCAGTTGGTAGTTGTGGTAGTTAGATAATCAGGTGTCAATTTGAGAGGGTTACGAGTGAAGGGGTGGAGTCTGGTCAGTCAATTGGGTCAAAACCAATGAGGCCTCTGTGTGGGTATGGCCTTCTCCTGAGAACTCTGGGAACTCCTGTACTTCTTCCTTGGAGGCGGGAGACATACTCTCTCTCTGCTCAGTCCCTGAGAGATGCTTTACTGACAAGACACGTGGTGCTACACCCTGGGAGCTGGAGAAGTCACATGGACCTACCCTGATGCAACCAGACCTCTGGAGCCAGAGCACCCCTGTCTACGCTGAGATGCTTACACCACCACTGGATCCACAAGACTTCCAACCCACTGGCCTGTGATCCTCCTGCATTTGGCATCATTGCATGTGTTTTGTGAGTCTGAAGAGGACTTTGTAGAATGGTATTGGACATATGGGCTAATATTAAACTTACAGGCTTGATCTGGACTGGGCTGGGACGTGTTCTCAATATTCATTTGCTCTTGTAAATAAACCTCTTTCTTATACACATATGACTATGAATTTGTTTCTCTAGTCTACCCAGACTAACACAGTAGTGGTAGCTGGGCACCGTCTAGTTCTTCTGGTCTCAGGGTTGGGGGACTGGTGTTTGTGTGCTGTCAGTCTAGCCCATGGGACGTTTTCCACTGTCCTCACTCTTCCTCCCTCTGAATGGGAGGAGACCAAGGGCTGCCCCTGAGATGGTTGCTCACAAGCTTTTAAGACCCCAGTCGCTTAGTGTCTGTTTTTTTAACCAAATTTTTGAGCAAATTGTTCGGTGATACCGGCTGTCGTTTTCAAAATGTGTCAGCACTCCTTACTTCCATTCCATCTGGTCTGGTTTCCCGGAGGTAGTTTCCCATCCCTCCTTGACGTTGCACTTGTGGTAGATGGGTAAGTGTTAACCGTTGGGTCTCATGTAGTTGATTGTTGGAGGGAACTCATGACTCGTGAGTGCTACTATTTATTTTGTAAGACCAGGTCTTATTTGGCTGAAGGGTGGCTCACATAAGTAGCTTCAATTCCAAACTCCAAGGCGATCTGAGGACAACAGTCTTCAGGGTTCCTCTAGTTTCCTGCAGTCCAGTGGGTCTGGACTTTTGATGGAATTTGAGTTTTGTCCTACATGTTTCTTCCATTCCAGCTGGGACTTTCTAGCATGTCCCTGGTCAGACTGGTTAGTATTGGTAGTCAGGCACCATCTAGTCCTTTGGGCTCCTGGGTTGAAAGTGTCGTGTGGTTTGTTAGGGTTATGAGTCCCGTAGATAGGGTTCTTCTTTGATTGTCACTGGCTTCTCTTGCTCCACAGGAGTAGAGACCACGCGGGGAGGTGAAATTGCTGGCTACAGCTCTTCTGTCCTTAATCTGTGTAACTCCTCATGTGCAAATAAGATGTAGACGATCCTAACTCAATAGTTGGTCCGTTTTACCATTCCGATGGGTATAAGTGAGTCATCTCAAGCAGGAAGGGACGAATCCTATGACTATCAAGAAATTAGAGCCGTGTGTGTGTGTGTGTGTGTGTGTGTGTGTGTGTGTGGTGTGTGGTGAGCCTGAAGTGGCAGAGGCCACAGCACTAAGACGGTGTGACAGACCAGAGGTTGCAGAGGACCTGCATGAAGACCACGAGGCAAAGCAGTGGGTGGACTGAAGAGCAAAGCTGAGTGCCTTCGGGCAGGAGGTTGACTAGTAGAGTGGGGTCCCCTTTGGAGCACCCAAAGGGGACTTGTTATACTTGCCCAAGTAGGGAAGAGGCCAAGGGACCATACAATTGGGAGGCCGAGACCACAGAGAGATGTGCCTGCTGCCATGGATGAGAAGAGGCATTACAAAAGAATTGTATCCTTAACGTTTATGATGCTGACTTGTGGTACCTTAACTTCCATAACAGCTGCCCATCATTGTGAGTACTGTCTGTGAGTTTTTGTGGACAGTGCAATGGATATTGAATCCAGCAGAGAAGTTGAGTGCTGTGCGCGGGCACAGGGCAGTTGGTGTCAGAATAGACTAGAGGCAATTGGAGGGCGGCGCATGTCTGACCTCTGCCTCACAGGACTCATCCTTGGGCAGATGTGGAGGTGCACTCTCCTCCCTGCTATGGCCAGAGGCGATCAGACGTGGTTCCATGCCATCTCTTCCCTCAGCCCAATATTTGTATCGTGGATGGCCACTCTCCATCTCTTTGATGTTTCCTATTTTGAATGCTTCTAACAGAGGGCAACCATAGTTCAGTGGTGGAATGTTCACTTTGCAGGTTGGAGCCCCGGGTTCAGTTCCTGCCCGAACCACCCCTGCAGCCACCCCTGCCCATCAGCAGGGGCTGTATTCTGCTCCGATGTTGACAAGTTTGGGGTGTTTCCAGATGAACACAGACTTGGATGAAAAGCCTGGGAATAAACGGCCAAAAATCACCCCCGGAAACCTCACGGATCACAGCAGGTCTGATCCTAGTGCACGTGGAGGCCTTGGGAGTCAGGGGCTAACTTACAGTAGCTAGTAACAAAAAACGACATTTCCATCAAGAACATGTTTCTATGCAATTAAAAAAAATGTAGTCATAGAGAGAGAGGGGTGATATTTCACACCCCCTGCCTTTCGGAGTCTCAAAACCACTTGGAAGGCAGGAAAGGTATGGTACCGATTTCCGTTTCCAGATGAGAAGGTGGAGGCCTAGTAGCCTTGGCTGGCTTAGGACCTGCAGTGGGTGTGGAGGGGACCCCCACCCCCGAGCCTCGAGCCCTCCATGCCAGCTGGGGTCTCTCTCGGGATTCTCCCACTCCCACAGCTGGTCATTCACACATGCTCAGTTCACTGGCATTGCCAGGCCCCAGAACCCCCAGCTCAGCAGGGGGCCCTGCCAGGCTCAGCCCCCAGAGCACCTGGTGAGAAGTGTAGACCCTGCCCCACAAACCACTGCACAACTAAGACCCTCAAGGCTGCCCCAAATCTGCTGGGGTCCATGACTGCTGAAATCCATCTGTGGCTGAGCCCCGAGGCAGCTGGAATGGTCTGGCTGCAGCCTGTGTTGCCTGCGCTCCTCCCCACCACCCATATTCCTCCGGTCAGTGTGTGTGACCCCGGCCCGGGACTCACAGATCGGGGGGCGATGGGCATGCCGCTCTCATCCACGGGCCCGATTCCCTCATACTTGACCCAGCGCTTGTCCCGATGCCTGCTGTCCTTGGTCCAGGTGGCTGACCAGTCTTGCGCACGCTGTGGGGCAGGAGTCTTCGGGGTCCCCGAGGGCCGGCTCCCAGGGCCTGGCCAGGTCTGATACCAGGCTGCGTCTGTGGGGTTGTGTGCAGGAGAGCATTAACAAAAGACTGGGCCTCCACCTGAACACGTGTGCTCCCTAGCTCTCACAACACAGACCCCTGTGTGCTCCAAAGTTTCAACATCCTGTTACCTTGAGCCTCTGACACAGACGTCACGTCTCCCCAGCCCCACCAGGGACACAGTGTACTTTTTAGTGAAAGGGCATGAAATTCGATGTTGGTTTGAGGGTACCTGCTTCAGCCCTGCCCCACAGTTCTGGAACTGTCCTAAGAGTTTGTGGAATGAGGGCTGGAAGTCTTGATGTGTACAGCATATTGGGGACTTCACAGCTGGGGAGGCAGAAAGGGCATGGGGCCTGGTGGGGATAGGCCTGCATGCAGAGCCGGGCTTGGCCCCTTCCTGGCTGCCTGACCCTGGGCCCCTCAGTCAAGTCCCCGGTGCCTCGGGGTTCACTTCTGGAACTCAAGGGTAACCGTTAGACATGCAGGGACCTTTCAGACTATGCCAGCACGGTGCCTGCCACACAGGCGAGACGAGAGGTTCTCGGTAAGGGACAGTCATCACCAGACACAGCTACAGTGTCCTCGACCTCCCCACAACCTCAGCCCCTCCAAGAGGCCAGTGTCACAACATCAGACCAGACAGACTAGGGCTCGAATTCCAGCTGGACATCTCTGAGAATCATTTTCTTCCTCATTGGGAAGATGGCAAGAGCTGTACCTTCCTGTGCCAGGACCTTGAGAGAGGGTTTGTTTGTAAGGAACACTGGGTCTGCTGTGGAGGTTCGAAGTCACCAGGTGCTCCTCAAGAGAAAGATGAGGCTGGCTGCTTTCCATAAACATTAGCAGCCTTGGAAGGCCACGGGGCAGCTCCTCGGTCTGTCTGAGGGGTGGCTGTGAGTCAGAATGCACTCAGGGTCGGTGGGTCTGGGCAGGGTACAGTTTGGAAAGCGTCCTGACAGCGTGTGATTATAGCACGCAGTGAGTGCTCAGGAATTAGTTGTTGGCTGAATAAAGCACTTCACCCATGGCCTGCCTCGAAGACCACCCCCTCAGGAAAGGAGAGGAGAGGGGCACCGAGGGGGGGCCTGCCCCAAGGAGAGCCCAGGAGCTGCCCAGGCTCTGGGCTCCCTGCTGACGACAGCTCAGATGCCTGCCTGTAGGGGGTGCCACCCTTCTGGAACCAGCCTTCCATCCCTGTGACTGTGGCCCCAGACACTTCCCTTCCCTGGCACTGGGGGCGGTGGGAGGGGGGTGCAGAGTAGAAGGGAAGAGATGAGTCAGCCACTCTCTCTCAACTGATTTCACTCTCAACGTGAGACATGCATACTCACACAGGGAGGGAGCAGCTATGCTCCGAGCTCCTGGGGTCTTGAGACACCACTACCCCATCCCAGACCAAAGCAGCCCTGCTGTTTATGCAGGGTGGTGGCCCCTGTTGGTACTGACCTGTTGAGCCTGCGTGTCTGGAAGTCTCTCTCCCCTCTCTCCTCTGTGGGAAGTACCCATTGCACACAGTCCGGGGTGCAGGATCATGGAACTGGAAATTAAGGGTGTTGGAGCCACCGTTCCGGATGACAGGCACCTGTGGGGAGGGGCCAGGAGCGGCTGCTCAGGGCCCAGAGGATCCCGTGGAAGGCTGGGAGGGATGGCTCACACCCAGGCCAGCGCTCCAGGCCCTGGACCCTTTGGCAGGCCATGGTCCATCTCCCGGACTGCCCCTTCCCCTCTCCCACTCCTGTCATCTTTCTGCCCACTTGCCTGTGATGTTGGTGCCCCCTCTCCCAAAGCTATGCCTCCAAGACCCCTGTCCCTCAGAGGTCTCACTCACCCGTGTCCCCCGGGAGGACGACCCTGCCTGGACCCGGAGGTGGCTGGGGATGAAGTCATCCAGGCTGAGCCCAGCAGGGAGACTGCAGGGGGACCCCTGCATGCCGGGGTCAAGGCCGGAGTCCTTCTGGGCTGACAGCTGCTCCACAGGTCCTCTGCAGGAAGGGAAGGCTGAAGGGGGGGAGTCCTGCAGGTCCCTGCTCAGCCCTCTTCACTCAACCTAGAGATGTGGGGGAGGGGTTGGCCTGGGAGGGGGCTGGAGCCATCTGGGTGGGAGCTCACAAGACCCAGGAAGCAGGCCACTGTGTGCCCCCGCCTGCAGACTGCTAGTGCAGGCTCCCGTAGGCACAATGGACTTCTTGTTAGGCCCCAGGCAGGAGCTGAGGGGGGGCAGTGGAGGAGGGGGAGGCTGGCCAGGAGCAGGCCTGGGGGGACAAAGCCTTGGGCATGCAGGTCTGGAGGACAAAGCTGCAGCCTTAGCCCACTGGGCAGCCCCTGAAGGTAGGGGCAGGGGGGCGGGGGTGGCCAGCACAGCTGGAGGGACCAGCTCCCCTTGAGGAAGGCAGAGGGGACCTGGGGCAGCTGGCAGAGTCAGTGGGCCCACGAGACTTTGTTTCAGTTCCCTCTGACTAACACCGCCCCCC